TCTTATCATTACTTCTTCCTTTTAAAATTTTTATGAATTGTATATGTTTATAATGCATGTCATATTTTCCTAGATAGACTACTATGTGTGTATAAAATAATGATTTAAACATAAACATAATGGAGGGTGTATGCTCAAAACTTCACTGATGTAGATAAGATGTTTTGAAGACCAGTAGAATAGAGGTGCTGAATCTTCACTCCTTGGGCATTCTGTGTGATTAAAATAATATTGTTTAACCTGAAAAAAAGGAGCAGTTGACCATCAGAGGAAAAAAGGAGTAATCTTCTGATACATGTAACAACATGATGAATCTCAAAAACAGACACAAAAGGGTATTACTCTATGATGAAATTTTGTAAGAAACAGACAACACTAACTATGGAGATAGAAATCATATCAGTAATGGCCTGTGGGCAGGGCAATCACTGGAAGAGGACAGAAGGAACTTTCTGAGTGATGGAACTCTATGTATCTTGATTGTGGTGGTGGTTACCTCTGTCAATACTCAGAGACTACACACTTATTAAATGGGTGCATTTTATTGTATGCACATTAGACACTCCCCAGGAAAAGAATATTGCAAAAAGCCTCATTGTGCAGGTCAAGGAAAGCACTTTTCATCCTTGGTACCAGTCACTGCAAACTTTTATCATTCAACTTTTAAATTGAAATGTTATTCACAAGGGCTTCCCTGGTGGCTCAGTCGGTAAAGAATCCACCTGCCAATGCAGGAAATGTGAGTTCTATCCCTGGGTCGGGAAGATCCCCGGGAAAAGGAAATAGCAACCCACTCCAGTATTCTTGCCTGGGAAATCCCATGGACAGTGGAGCCTGGAGGCTACAGTCCAAGGGGTGCAAGGGTCAAACATGACTTAGTGACTAAACTACCGCCGCCGTTACTCACATACCTAAAATTCACCCTTTTAAGTAAAGTTTACAGTTCAGTAGTTTTTAGTATATCATGAAATTATGCAACCATCACTATAACTAAACTTTTAGTATTTCACCACCCCAAAGATAAATGCCATCTTTGTTTTCCCTGCATTGCTGAGTGCCCTTGGTCGCCTATTCTGTGCCCTTAAGCTCTTGTTAGCAGATAATAAGTTGAAGAGGCAAAAGGCTTAGGGAAACTAAATGGCCCAATAATATAAAATCAACAACATTGTGCTAATTCATTTGTTTTCCTTCATGAATTGGGAAAAGAATGTAGTGGAGGTAGAGAGAGATCCCTGGGCTTGTGATATTCGAGGATGGAAATGGGGTCAGGGGAGCCTGTGCTTTTCCCAAGGTAGGTGACTGGGGAAAAGCAACCTAAGTGCCTTAGGTAGACAGAGAAGGAAGTGGAGAGATCTTGGGAGGCCTCCTGGAAGAGGTGGCTTTGGACTATGCCAATTATTTTTCAAAATTCTGTTGTGCTTATAGTTGGCAAAGAGTATTTATGAACCTTATGGTCTTGGATTCTTAGAAGCCAGCAAGATAGGTGTCTTTATTTGCATTTTTATAGAGATGAGGAAATTGAGGCCCAGAGAGATGAAGGGTCCCATAAAGGACATATTATTGGGGAATTTCCCTGGCAGTCCAGTGGTTAGGACTCCATGCTTCCGCTGCTAGGGACCTGAGATGAATTGCTGGTTGGAGAACTAGGATCCTGCAAGTCACATGGCATCGCTAAAAATGAATAAATAAAACTCAATTAAAATTTAAAATAGTACAGCTCATAAATAAGCAATGACTCAATCTGAACTTGACCCCCAGTTGTGGGGAGAGAGAACCTTTTTAGGTGAAGTGGGCAAGGAAGACTTCCCTAAGGAGACCACCTTCTTAAAAAATACTGGAACAGTGAGATAGTGCCAGCCATGTGAAGGGCTGTGCATGAGGTGGGATGGAGAGTGTCCTAGGCAGTGGGAGCAGGGTGTGCAAGGGTCCTGAGGTAGGAAGTGTCTTGGCATACTTTAGGGATGGAAAGGTACAGGTGAACTGCAGCAAGCAAGACAGGTGAGTAGTTCTGGTGAGTTTGTAGGGTGACCAGAGCCAGTTTCAGAGGTCAAAGTAAGTCTTTTGACTTTTTCAAAGTGCAATATGAAGCCCTGGGAAGCTTTTGAGTAGTGGTGTGCCATGATCAGAAGTCAATTTCCTCCATGCTCCTCTGGCACTGCCTCTGTAACTACCATCCGAATTTCCAAGCAGCAGACGGGTTGAGGAGCTGGCCCACCTAGTTTGTGTTCTAGTTCTGCCTCTCACTGAGTGATCTGGAAGCTCCCAGTTTGTTCTTTGTCCTTAAGAGAATGCCATGACCTATGCTGGGGGATGTTGCAAGGAGTAAAGTTTTCCTGTATGTGCACACATGCCCACACATACACAGGGCCCTGCACAAGCCAGACTTTTTAAAAATTTCATTTATTTATTTTTGGCTGTGCTGGGTCTTTGTCGCTGCTTGTGGACTTTAGTGGCGGAAGGCTCAGTAGTTGTTGTGTGGGGCCTCAGTGGCATGTGGGCTTTTCCTAGACCAGGGATGGCATTCCTTGCATTGGCAGGTGGACTGTTTTAACTACCTGACCACCAGTGAAGTCCCAAGTCAGACTCCTAAATGCTGTTCCTCGTGGCTCTCTGCTCTTCCTGTTCCTCAGGGGTCATGAAGGTGAGCAGCAGAGAGAGAGGCTGGAGTCAATGAGGAACCTCACTTTTGTCTGAGTTTTAAAATATTTGGATAAATGGAAAGATAGCACATGTCCTGGTTGGGAAAATGAAATATTCTGGAATATTTGATCTGTTTAAATGAATTCATAGGTTTAATGTAACACTATGCAAAATCTCAATTTTTTGGAAATATCAGTAACAAACAGCTGATATATACAGAGTATATATATGAATATATGTTATATACACATACATATTATATGTTATATACACACACATACTATGTGCCAGGCATCATTTAGCTTGTGAGGCAGATGTTACTTTTATTCCCATTTTATAGACCAAGACCCTAAGTCCTGGGACTCATAAGCAACTTGTCAAGGTCACAGGACTGGTGAGTGTTGAAGCTGGATGATCCTGTCTCCAAAGTGAGCACTCTTAACTCCTGTATGATGATCCTAGAATGTATATGGACTTATATTCTGTTTATCAAGTGATAAGTCTGAATGAAAGAAGACCCTATGAGGGGGGATTCTAGCCCTGCCAGATGTGAGAATCTATTTTAAAGAACCAGTATTTAATTCCACATGGTATTTTCTTAAACCAAAGTCTGTGAAAGGAAATGGAGAATTCAGAAATAGACCACCCCAAATCAAAAGCCTAGCATGAAAGTAGATTTTACTAAGCAAAGGATAAGGGAAGAATTTAGTAAATGGTGATTGCATTAAGAACTGGTGATGACGGTGGTTACTTAAAATCCATATTTTACTCCCACACAGTAAAATAAACTTGCCATGGATAACCACCAAAGAATTAAAAATAAAATTTTAGAAAACTAGCAGGATGCAGACTATCAGATGGATGGAAAAAAGCTTTGTCAGCACTGAAGCAATTAAAAAAAAAATCAAAAATGACCAGAATGGCAGATTGAATAAAACAAAAAAGAACAATGGACTGGGAAATATTTGGATCACTGATGACAGAGTAGTAGTATCTGCAACATAAAAAATTCTTATTCAAAATTAGAAGAGGTTCAAGTCCCCAAAAGACAAATGGGTGTGAACAGATTATTTACAGAAAGGGAAATTTAGGTAGTAAATGCATGGAAAAACATTTTAAAGTCACCTAAGAAATACTGAAGTAACCTCGAACTACCAGTAGACACTACTAAAATAAAGGAGGAGAAAAGATGGCATCCAATACTTAGAAATGTGTATTAAACTCTTTACACTTGTTTTTGGCAGGTGCAGAATGAGTGGGGCTGCTGTTTGGAAAGCTCTGTGGCACTGTGGGCTAAGATCATCCTGCTGTTCCTTAACCTTCCACATGGTTATTCAACTGCCAGGAGTTTGTCTAAGTGCTGAACTAAGAGATATATTAGCAAACAATTATCAGGGACCAAAACAGGCAATATTAGGAGACAGAGTGAATGAATGACGACAATTGCACACATGAAAAATGTGAACAAAACAAATGTTAGTGATGGTAGCAAACACAAAAGAGGATGTGTAGTTGCAACTATGTAAAGACTTGCATATAGGCGGAAGGTTTCATGTTTGAAAAGTTGCATTTTGTAGTAGTATTATGGATACTACTTCGTTCTTTTTGCATGTTTCTTCCTGGTTGTCATATTGTCTCTTCAGTGGCATTAAGAAAAAAAAAATCTAGATTCAAATCTAGCCAGTAGCGTGACTTTGAGCAACAGTCTGTGAAGTAGGGTAATATTTCCCAGCGCAGTGGCTGAGCTCATTAAGTGACTTGAGCCGCATTTGGCACCCCAGACCTCCTTCTTGGTGTGGGGGCGCCTCTTCCTTCCTGAAAGACAGGAATCATCAGAGTTCTGTCAGAGACCTTCTCCCCGGGCCCGGGAATCCGGGCACTCCACGGTTTCCGTGGTGCAAGGACTCCCTTCTGCAGGGAACTCTGCAAAGCAGGTGGGAATCCTGGTGTCTCACTGGCACCTGCCCTCGCTGGGGGAAGGGGCGAGGTCGGGGAACACAATCGCCTGTTGGCAGCTCGGGTTTTGGGGCCGGCTTGTAGCCACCTTCGACCTTCGGTCCCAGCCCGGGTCCCCCTGCTCTCCCGCCGGAATTCGGCAGCCGTCTTGTGCCCCCTCGCTGGGGCCCCGTGCGACAGGAAAACTAGGATTTACAGGGTGCCTCCTGCGGAAGCCCGGAGACACCCGGTGCGCCGGGGGCCCAGGGTCTGACTTCGCAGACAGGGGGCACTTGGGTGCTTTCCAGATCTCAAGGGACGCGCCCCAGGTTCTCGACGTGGGCCTGACGGACGGACGCAGCCCTCTCCCGCGGCAACACGCGCCGATCTAGCATCCAGTTGTCGCTCCGTCAGTTCCTCCGCTAATGCCATCTTGCCGGAGGCTGTCACGTGCGGGCGACAGCATCGCGCTTCACCTCGGACGCCAAAAACGACACCAGGACGCCACCAAGTTCCCTGGACTCCGTCCTCAACCCGAGGTGAGGCGCAGGGGCCCTTCTCTCGTGGGTCGGAGCAGGGACACGGTGGGCGCTGGGTCCCTGGGGCGCGTCTTCCCGTCGGGGCCAGTCCGCGTCAGGCTGCAACGCCGTCGGGGGCCGGAGGCGCAGCCGTTAGCTCTGCGCCACGGCCTCGAGGTGTCAGCTGTTAAGTTGTGGGCTGGGGGCACGAGGGGCCGGGGCGGCTGCCGGCGCGGGTCCCCGAGGACCCCAGTCCGCGGCCGCCTCGTCTCCCGTACTGACCCAGCAGGGCCGGAAGATGAGCGAGCCTGCTCGGAGAGGCCCGGCAGCGGGGCGCCACGCGCGCCGCGCGAGGGGCGCGGGCTGCCGGGAGGAGCGCGGAATGGGGCGGGGGGGGGGGGGCGCGGGCGCATGCGCCCTGCGCCCGTGCCATATTGGAATGAGTCGGAGCGCGGAGCGCCGCCGCCGCCGCCGCCTCCGCCGGAGCGCGGGTGGAGGGGGGCGGGGAGAGCTGCCGGCCGCCCCGCTCCGCGGAGCCCAGCAGGAAGGAGAGCGCGAGCGGGCGAGCGCGGGCGGCGCGAGCGGAAAAAGCTTCCGCGCGGGGGGACGAAAAGAAGAAAAGAAAGAAAGAAAACGAGCGCGAGAAGGGAAAAGCGAGCGATTGAGCGAGCGCGCGCGCGAAAACTCCCGGCAGGTAAAAAAGCGGGGCCGCCGGCTGGGCCTTCCCGCGCGGCGGCCTGAAGGGGCGGCGGCAGCGCCGGGGCGGTGGACCGCGCGGCGGCCCCCTCGAGGCGGCCGTGCAACTTTGCCAACGAAAATCACCGGGAGCCGGAGGGCGGCGGGCGCGCGGGCTGAGGCGCCAACGGGCGGCGGCGGCACATTGGGGGCGGGGGCGGGGCGGGGGGGGGGGGAGCGCGGCGCCCGCGCGCGGCCTGGCGCGGCCCCGCGCGCCGGCCGACCGGGCGGTAGGAGCGCGCCTGGGCGCCTCGCTGAGGCGGCGGCGGCCGGCAGTCCTGGGCTGACTCGTGCGGCGCGCGGCAACCCCAGGGCGTGAAAGGAAAGTGGCCGGGCGGCAGTACCGCGGGCGCCCAAGTTCCCCGGCGCGCTGGGCCCCTGGCGCGCCCCTCCCCGCGCGTCCCGCGCTCCCTCCCGCCGAGCCCCCGCGGACCCGCCCCCCGGGCTCGCTCCGGGCCCGGGGCGCGAACCCGCAGCAGGACCCGGGGGCGCGCCGCCCGCGCGGCGATCTGAACTTCACTGGGCCGAAGCGGCCGCGGCGCGATGGCTGAGCGTCTAGCGGCCGCCACAACCGGTTGCTTCGGACCAGCGTATCGGAGTGCGCCGGGCCTCCCCAGCGCCGATCGAGCGGGCCGTGGGCTCGCCGGGAACCCGCTGCCCGACCCCAGGCGGACCTGCCGCTCCAGAGGTCCGTGACCGTTTCGATTTCTGTTCTTAAAGTCTCGTTTTGGACCCTGAAAAGGAGACTATGGAGAGGCGAGCCGAATGTCCTGAGAAGGCAGGCCTGCTTTGTGGGGAGCAGAAACGCCTTGTGAGAACGGAGATACATTCCCGCGGAAAGGATGTATGTTAAGTTTTTCACAAAATGTCAGCTGCTCACTGGGGTCTAAAACTGAGCCGTAAAGGACAGGTCACTTGCACGTCTTGTTATACACCAGCAGTGAGGCAGGACACCCTTGCCAAGGACAGGCTTTTTATTTAGTGGGGATATTCTCAGCGGGTCTCTCAAAGCAGTGCGGGTGGGCTGCCCCGAGCGAGGTTTCGTGAGCCTACTTAGTCCTGAGAACCAAGAAACCATCAAAAAGATTGGAAAGGTAATAAGATGGATTTTATCAATCCCTGTAATGCCTTCTTCTCTGGAACCACATTTTTAAGATGTCACACTTGATTGCATCGCAAGTAAAATGCCTGAAAACGTACTTGTTCATTTGTCGACCGTCTTGAGATGAGGAAGGAAGATGAGTGTACTCTTTGAGTACACTTTGGGGCCTGTCGGCCTGGTATTTTAAGGTATGTAGAAGCTTTCTAGGCCACAGGTAGATTTGGAGTTCAGATTTGTTTACAATGTTAGAAAAGTAACGGCTTGGAAACGGGAGTGGCCCCAGATCAGGAAACAGTTCTGTTACTACTGTTGTCATTGACTACTGCCTTATCTTGGGTAAGTTTCTTTACAGATTTGTTTTTCTTTCTTTGCAAAATTAGTGGATGAATAGATGATCATTGTGTGTCCTTTCAGTTCTGAAATTTGGTGACTTTCTAAAGTGAAAGATTAAAAAATTTAGGTTTGTACTTTGAAAGGTTCTACAAGGAAGTACTCACAACCTGCATCTTTATTAAGATACATTTAGAAAAAAATACCTTGAGAGTTGTATCTTGGATGATTTTATGTAGCATTGTCTGGAAAGATAGTTACAAATGCATTTTAATATGTTTTGAAATTATGTATATATATTTATTTATTTATTGAGGCCTAATTTACAATAAGATCTTAATTTATGTACATAGAGTTCAGTGACTTTTGCATATGTATATGCACTGGTAGCTACACTCAGATCAAGATACAGAGCATTTTCAGCTTCCCAACGACTCTTTCTACATTTCTTCTTTTCAGTTAACACCTTCCCTCCCCCAAGGTGACACTGTACTGACTTCTGTCACCACTGGTGAGTTTTGCTTTATTTACAACACAACCCTTTTCTGGGTGAATGGGGGCAGTATTAGTAAACTGAAGAACAACACATCTGTTAACTGGAGTTATGGTCATGGTCATTTTCTCCATGATCCTCATGCTTTTTATAACTATTTTTGCATTTTTATGCTATTTAAAATGACTAAATTTCTGACCTGGGAGACCTCTTAGAAGGTCACTTTGTTGAGGCAATACTGTGCATATTTGGATCTGTGGTTCTGGGAGTCCTTGTGGACATGGGCTCTGTATCAATCTGCTACTTCCCATTTTTTGGAATGCAGGTATATTTGTAGACAGTAGGTTTAAAGGATGAATCATGAACTTTTCCCACAAGTCAGGTTTAAGTGTCAGTAGATGAATCAGTTCCTTAAAGCCTAGAATTTGCTGAGAAAATTAAATGAAAATTGATTTTTTTTAAGTTCATTGAATTAATGAATGTGGGCATAAAGCTTTAACAACCTTTTAAATGACAGCAATTAACTTGATTTATATATGCAAGATATTCCCCTGGTTTGTCAGATCATTAAAACTCTAGCAGTGAAAGCAAAAACAAAAGATAACTAAAAATTATGTCAGGTGATTTTTAATTTTTGTTTGGTTTTTGCTTTTTGTGGTAGACCTAGGAAGTCGGGCTTTTTATGTTTCCCACTAAAGCAAGAACTTGAGCAATTTACTTATCCTTCCAAATGCCTTTTAGTATATTCTTGTACCCTTTCTTATTTCTGTTGCTAAAGGAGAGGAGTTAGAGGTTGTAACTGAATTCCTGTTAGTTCTCACGAAGGCCTGTGTTTTTTACTGCAAGGCCATAGAAAGTTGAGAACTAAGTCCTGTGGTAGGGATGCATAGGGCATAGTCCACAAAGTTCAAAGATTTTATTTTGTGAAATGATTCTGCTGAATAATTCTGTTTTTCTGTGACTAAGTCAGACAGTTGGCCAAAAACTAAGCTGAATTTGCTACCCTAAGATTCATAGCATCATTAGCAAAGAAAGTAATTCATCACTTAGTTATTATTGATCTATACTTTTTTCTCCTTTCTTTCTTCCTCCCTCCCTTCCTTTTTTTAGTGGCTCTTTAGATTTCTTAGCTTTTGCACTATCAGATATTTAACTTAAAATTTGTTAAATTTTTGAGCGATGTAACTAGAGAGATGCAAAATGAGAAAATGTATTAAAGTGAATTCCATCTTTGCTATTTATTTTTCTGTAAACTCTGATTTTTCTCTTTAAAAGTGCTTTTCTTACCTATAATCTTGCTCCTTCTCTATGGTACTTTTGCTTTCACAGTGGTAACTAGACTGGTCTTTACTATAGAATGATGATGTAGAAGCTGCTGTCTTTTGACTCTGTGAAGTCTGTAGAAAAGCTGAATTGTCCAAACTTCATCAGCCTTTTTTTTATGACTTCGTGTCATGTTCACATTAAATAAAGGAATACATCCAGAAAGCAGAAGACATAAGGCAGACACTGTAAATGCTAAGTACTTTTTATTGAAGCTTTTCTCTCATAAATTCTTAAAACTTTTCTTTCTGGAATTATTTGACTGTTACCCAGTGCTTCAGAATAATTTATGTGAGAATGAAAGAAACATGTAATCAGTAAATGGTATGGCTTTCTTATGGCTTTCTTCTTTTTATTTCTGTAAATAGACTTTGTTTTCTAACTGGAATGTTTTGTAATTGAAAAAAATATTTCTTTTTGTACATAGCTGTTACATTGGGTGAAGCTCTCTGGGGATTTTGGTTACCTGGGAGATTTTGAACCATTAGACTTCAGGGAGTGGGATTTTGGTATGACTCTATACTTCTTCAAGTGGAGTTGGCAAACAATTAAACATTGGAAAATATTTAAAATAGAAAGGATGTGGTCAGGTTGTTACAAGTTCATTTTTAAGCTTTAGAGAGGTGGGAGAGAGGATAAGAAGGCATGTTATTAAAAGAAAAATTATGACTTTACTGTAAAGGTTTTAACACATTGGATTGTAAACCTTTGCCTGTTGCTCAAAGGCACCTAAAGATTTCTAATTATTTTCAAGTCTCTTTTACTTAAGAGGATATTTATAAATTTATTCAGCTCTCTTTGTATTTTTAAAATATTTTATATACATAGATATCTTTATTTTTATTTATTTGGCTGCACTGAGTCTTAGTTTGGGCATGTATATTTTTAATTGTGGCATGTGGGATCTAGTTCCCTGACCAGAGATGGAACCCGAGACCCCTGCATTGGGAGTGGAGTCTTAGCCACTGGACTGCCAGGGAAGTCCCTTTCTTTGTCTTTAGATCATCGCTCAGGGACATCATTAAAAAAAACCTTGTCTGTATATTATCCTAAAGGTATTAGGTCCCTGCTGACTTTATGGTTTGATGGTTGAGTAACTTCAGAGCCAAGCACTGTGGATAACTGCTGCATGGTGGCATTTCTAACATGGTGTATGACCTGCATGCAGGTTCCTTTCTGACTTTTTTGCTTAATCTGGAGAAAGGTTAATTACTAGACTGATTTGGGATGGATTGGGCAGTTGATAGTTACCTGCTTGGTCTGGGAAAGTTAGTTCTGGGCTGAGATGACATTTGGAGAGTCTTAGATGAGAGATGGAGGGTGGTTTGTCGGCAGTTACAAGTACAGGATGATTGTTTCTGGAATGACAACATGAGAGGACTGAGAAATTTAGCAATCATTAAAATACCTCAAGAATTTTTCCTGCTGAAAAATTCAGTTTAAAGTGTTAACCAGCAAGTACTTCGATTTGAATTCCAAATTACTGTAATATTTTTCCAGAATAGTTTTTATTTGAGGTGGCTGCTATGTAATATTTGCTCCATGGTAATGCCACCTGTGCGTTATCACTGATTTTCCATGTTAATTTCATGTTCATTTGGTGCCCAGACTAGTGCTTTTTCTCAGTTTTTACTAGTGTTCTTTCTCGTTGGTCAGTTCTGTAAAACATGCATTTTCCGTGTTAAACATAGTATGTGTTACTTTGGAATCATAATTTTAAGCTGCGTTGGCTTATTTTTACTCATATCATTATAAAAT